CGAAAAAAGAGTAAGAAGCTTGTTGCGGTCAGCATGGATCGTTAGGGCAACTCCAACCCCAGATCACCTATTGAACACCATCGACCATATGTCCATAGACATGTTCGTAGACAACCGAATGGGCAAAGGCGTTCAATCATATACATCAAATGTTTGCCCCTTATCCAATGAAGAGAGAAGAGAAAAAGGAGGAAGAGTGAAAAGTGGGTTCGTGGTATGATCCGATGCTGAGTTGGCAGCGGTCGCGCATTCCCGAACTCCTCCAAAGCTCCCCTAATTTGAGGATGATTTGTGAGATTTTAGACGTCCGGACTGGCCCAACAGATACAGTGAGTTGCATTGAATGGCTACAAGTGCCCGGACCGTCCGTTTCGGACATCTAAGGGCTTGGTGATCTGTGTTGGAGTTGCCCTTAGTTATGGAGTTTTTGGTGGTGTCGTGTGAACTCCCTATAGTAAACTCAGGAGCCGGAGCTAGGCTATATCATATTTCCTTCAGTCGGGTTTACAAGACTTATTTGGTTTGTCTTAAGATAAACTTGTTTAAATTTATAGAGGAAAATGATAACATCTACAACTTCATATAAATTATTCTTCTTCTTTGAAAATGATGTTGGAACCCCGAACCCTGCATCATTTTGATGCACACAACCACGATACAAGGCAACGAGGTCAAATACAACAAGTAGACTATAAAACACGAAAAAATAACAACGAAAATTCGTAGGGGCATGCTAGTGGGGGGGCACTCACCTGCCAAAGCCTGCTGCCCGCTCGATTTGCCTCACGATTTGCGAAGTGGTTGAATCCCGCACGAGGCCATAGTAAAAAGAAAATCCCTCAAAATGATTTAAGTTTAAGCAATAAAACTTACAATTTTTGCATCTAAAAATGCCAAGTTTCAACAAGGTTCAGAAATATAATTTTTTAAAAAAATATGTCGGTTGTAGACACAAAAAATATATTTTTTATCAGTCACTCATACTATGTTTAACATTGAAACTTAACATTTTCTAAAGTCATGAAAATATATTCAAAATGGATCTTATTTCAACGCGCGCTGGTCACAAGAAACATGAATATGAAAACAAAACTTAATTTGAATTTTTTGTTTAAATGTATAAAACTTTGAAAATTGGATGCCAAAAAAAAATCCGGCACCAGGGACCGAGTGCCCCGCAAATCCTCGTCCAAATCTATACTTCTATACTACTATATAGTATACGAGTAACTCTCAATATGGACCGTTGGATAGTTTCAATCGAATGGCTCATGTTTGTTTGCTTGGTTTCATGTGCAATATATACCGTCGGATAGAAAAATCCTACGGCTGCTATTCCAGGGATTCGCGGGGTTGCACACTGGCTCCTGGATGCGCAAATGGCAGCCTCCACACTGGTACTGCATGTGATTATGGGGCCCATCCTACATCGTTCCAGTGAACTCCACGGTATTCTTTTTATAGAAAAATTGACATCTACTCTGCCCGGTTCTCACCAGTCACAACAACCTGCAAAGGGAAGAAGAGGCCATCACGGTAGAAACCTCTAGAAAAATATCAACCTCAAAATGCTAAATGTCCACGATTCGCATGTGTAATAAAAAAATAAAACACCTATCTGTGTTTTTTTAGGGGGGCCTATCTGTGTTGATGTGTTCGCCCAAAATAAGAAGGAAAACGTCCTGCTGGTCCACCTGCCAATATAATTTTCTGTTTCTTATTTTTTTGATTATGTACTTCTCTAAGGTCAATATAATTTAAAGAAATATGTGCACATACTTAAATATGTATTATTTCCTCCAGAATATATTTACTTTTCATACCTTCCAAACTGCGTACATCATATGACATAATATTAATAGAAGAATTTTGTATTATCAAAATCAATAATTGGATATATATATATATATATGTTGATGATACAATTATTTCATAAAGGAAAACATTTGTCTTAGATAAAGTGAGAATCACATATTTGAGAACGTCCCAAAATAATTTATCATCGTTTTCGTGTTTAGATTCAAGATGAGTGAGTTGTGATTATTTTGATATATAAGAAAATTTCTCTAAACATTGTTAATACTTTGGTACGTTGCACCTGTGTACCTTCACATAGTCGCTATATGGGCCTGACATAGGGATCAACTTTACATGTTGGAAATCGTTCTGAAACGGTAATAAAAAAACATAACACAAGTATAGGATAACAAGATGAATTGTTTATAATGGGTTTTAGTGACAATGTGTGCTCCGCTAACTGGGGCAAAGGGCATGTGAAAAAATCTCTATATAAAATGACAAGCACAAATAAATTTAGCAACTCCCTTAAATGTTGAATTAAGGGGCCACCTACATGTCACGTGCCTAAAAACAATTTATTATAGTAAGTTATGTCCACAATCCGATTCGGGTCCAGCAGCCACAATTTCATAATCCTCTTCACTTTGCTGGTGGTGTTCTTATTTCTGGAACCATCGCTCAACGCCGGCCGAACAGCGCACTGCCACGCCCTTTACCCTGCTCGATGCACCTCCTTTGCCCCCTCGGCCTCCCTCTAATGCTTGCCAAATTTCATTGCCAGCGAGCTCCACGCACTCCCGTTCCACCCAAACCCATCAACCTATTGACTCCCCTCCACCGGCAATGATGTTGTCACGTAGTCCCTGGCTCTGGGTCACTACTGGCTCGGAATCACCGGCACACCCGTCTCAGCATCAGACCCTAGGTGGAATCGATTGGTCTGATTTGCAATTTCATGCAACTGATAAATACAAAAATATTGAATTAAATAATTAGTGACTAATTTTTCTATGGTATCGTCACTCCTATGTTATGCTTTATTTATAACATCCATGGACCCTTTTTTTTGCAATAATCATTAAAAAATGAAAATGTTGTGTGAGTCGTGCCCTGCTGAGTTATTCATTATTTTGGTGCATGATTAGGATTTTCTTAAGTAACACATGATTAAGTACTGACGTGCAAAGCACGTGCAACTAACTAGTTAACACCAATGACTAAGTTAGACTTCTTGCACAACAACACTTCTAAGGAGGGATAAACATCCTCGCGCCTATTTTTTGCATTGATCTTTCGCGTATTTCTAACACTTCTTTGCATTGATCTTTCGCTTATTTTTCTAACACTGCCAGCCTCCGAATTCCCTTCAGTCTGTATCTGTTCACCGGTGCGTTCTACCCACGGCCAAATTATAGCGTTCAAGAAGAAGAAAAAAGAGCACTGCGTCGCAAAGTGACAGTAAACCGCAAGCGAAATTGCACATAACCTCTCTATTCATCTGTACAATCGCAGAACTATGTACAATCCGGGGAGAAGACTCGGGAAGAAAACCCAGTATGAAGCTACCAAGTAAAAACGAAAAGCTAAGCTGACAGACACTCGATGGCGTCTTTGAGAGGTTCAGTTGTAGGCGCCGAAGCTGGTGCGGCCTGACGCCCTCTTGTCCGCGCCGGCGCCGTCGTTCCTCGGCGCCATGAGGTTGCTGATGGTCCTCACGATCTGCCGCTTCAGCTGCCCCCTCTTCAGCGCAGGCCTCCTCTCCTTTGTGCTGCCGTAGTTGCTGCTGTAGGAGTGCTCCATGGCTCTTCTTTCTCTGTTGTCCTTCCTCCTCTTCTTGCCCTGTCGCTTCTTGTGTGCTCTTCTTCTCCTTGTGAGTGTGAGTGTGTGTGTGTGTGTGTGTGTGAAGAGAAGATGGGGATGCGAAAAGAATTTATAGGCGAGCAAAACCACCATGTGTGCTCTGCTCTGTCTGTCAATACCGGTGCCTCGCAGCACATGTTAATTTGTCCTGGGGGAAATAATCGACCACTTGTGGGCTGCGCTGTGGCCAATGATATTTGCGTCGACAAGGCACTAACCACACGACCGGAGTGATTCATTACCAAAGGCCGACGAGGGACCCGGGTGGGGTGACTGTTTCCTCGGAGAGAGTGGCAGTGCTGCCCATCGACTGTTTGCAGCCACCGAGAGATGCATGTGACCGCGACGGCTCACTGGTTTGTGCCGTAGCGAGTGTCAACTTTCAAGGTTCAGTGCACCGCTAGTGGGGGCTGGGGCAGGACTGGGCTGGGGCTGCTGCCGGTGGCGCTATGCTGGCCTGGGGTGTCAACTTGGGTGACCCCACGTGGTCGACCGGACTACCTTGGCCGTGACCTTATCCGCTACGTGCCTCTTCTTCATTTTGGCAAGATATTTGTCATGTGTGGATGACGTGGAGTTTCTACACCTGAGCTCATATGCTCCTGGTGTGAACAGTATAATAAATAAAATAGAAAAAACATTTTTTCGAGATAAATAGAAAAATATTTCAAAAAATTATGAATTCTTTTGTTGCATACGTTAAGAAATGTTTGTTGTGCATGTAAAATTTTATCACGAAATGACATTAGTGGAAGGCATGGTAAAAAAAATTGATGCTCTGAAAATGTTACTTTCAACGCATTTTGAAGCTCTGATTTTTTTTGCCACGACCTTCACCAATGTCATTTCGTTTTGAAATTTTGCATGCACAACAAACATTTTTTAAAGTATGCAACAAAAGAATGTCAAAATCTTTTGAAATAGTTTTCTATTTTATTTATTTTACTGTTCACAGCACGAGCATATGAGCTCAGGTATAGAAAGTTACTTTCAATGTGGGGAGCATTGATTACACTCAATTTGTTATTGGGGGATGCTACTGTAGTAGGAGTACTACAACATTTATTTTTTTGACTCTCATAAGTGTCATATGTATGGCACGAAGCAATTCCGGCTTGACATTTTTTATGGCAATTTTACTTACGCGGGGATGGTAACTTTAGTTCTTAAGCATGACAACTTTCTGTTTGCATGGCAAATTTCAGTTTTTTTATGGCAATTTTAGTTGTAAAAACGCCAGGACGGTGTTATTTCGGGCCACACGTGTGACACTTATCATTTGGATTTTCTAAAGAATCCTAATCTATTATATTATAAAAGCTGATGATCACAATACAAATTACTACATCAAATTTCTTACACTAGCAACGACCACTACTACTGTCAGAATAAGCCGTCGACATGTCATTGTCATACTGACCTGGCCTTGTCGATGACACCGAAAGTTTTCGTGCACGTGTCCCTAAGGACCATCATCATCGAGCCCTAGTCGTTGTCCTTGAACCCTTGAATAGATCTAAAGCACCTGACATCAAATCTCGCCATCTCACACGCACACAAGAAACCGTAACCACGTCGTTTCAAGGAGAAGGCTTGAATTTACGTCGAAGCTACATCGGTTATGTTCAGACGAACGAATTCGAGAAGAATCGGAGTCCGGAAGAAAAACTCAAAGAAGAAGTGATGTCATCCGCCCCGCACCTCTAAGGACATGAAAACATAACCTAGACTACTAGCCAGAGCGAATGCATCGATATTATCCTTCCTATCACTAGCCGCCGAAACGACAATTAAAAAGAAAGAGAATCCATAACCTCATTACATAAACATGAAAGGAAGAATTTGCCCTAGCCAGTAAGGGCATGGAAGATGGCGTATGGGCGGAACTACTGTGGTACTTGATGTACTTGCTAGTTGCTTTTTTTTTGAAAGCGGGGTGCCGATGTTAGGCCTTGTACAATGCTAGATGCTTAGTGAGGTGCTTAGAAAAATAAATCGGATTTTTCTGAATCATCAGTGCCTATTTCTACAGGAGAGACACCTAGGCACCGGTGTTTAAGAAAAGTTTGGTTTATTTCTCTAAACACCTTCCCTAAGCATCTAGCATCTTGCATCATATGAACGTTTCATATAGTCGCAGTTAACAAATTCAGGCCTACCGCTAATTCTATTTTAACAGCTAGCATAAATTCCCCGGTTACTAGTGCCTTGCTCAGACTCGGTCTTTACCTAAAAAGCAGTCAATTTGTTCTTCCAAAAACTGATATTTATCTCCCACCTGAATCACTCGATAAACATGATACAGCACGCATGAACTACTAGTCCCAACCGCAACCACCACATTTTGAAGTGATTCGAGCAAGAGCCACTGGGCACATTTTTGAAGATACTAGATGATACCCCGCACGTTGTTGCGGGAATATTTGCAATACATTTCGATGATATGTGATTTTTATGGAACGTGAATAGTGATACTATGAAAAATAAAATTGTAAATCCTATGCTTTATTGTGTTTGATTAATGTACTGTAAAATATCTAATATATGTTTGCATGTTGAGGTGGACATTTTCATGTGCATGAATGCATGTTGTGATGGGCCTTTTGCCATGCATGTTGCTTGATGATGTGGCATGCTTGCATGTTAAGAGAAATATGTTAGTGGGGGCTAGCTATTTAGATATAGAATGTATTGTAAAATATCTAATATATGTTTGCATTTTGAGGTGGACATTTTCATGTGCATGAATGCATGTTGTGATGGGCCTTTTGCCATGCATGTTGCTTGATGATGTGGCATGCTTACATGTTAAGAGAAATATATTAGTGGGGGCTAGCTATTTAGATATAGAAGATTCCTCAAACCTATGTAGCGCATAATCAATCCTTGGTCCACACGTGCGCCTCGCCCAAAAGTCGTGAAACGAGAGTTAGACTCTCGGTCGACCACCGTGGTCCATGGAAATATCTTCATCAAAAGGACGACGGTGATGAAAATATCTTCAAGAGGATGTTGTTCGCGAAAGAATATCTGAGAGTGGAAAGCTGATATTTGTTACATTTGCCGTCCGTAGTGTTATATACTTTGGTCGATGGGAACTATATCAAGTAGCATGTGTCCTACCGAAACATCTTATATTTTGATATGGAGGGAGGTAATACTTCTTTTTTTCGAGAATGAGGGAGGTAATACTTACTAGTGCTAGTCACAGATCAGATGTTTTTATCTAGAGACGCACCTACTTACTCAGGGGGTGTCGAAAAGATTAAAATCCTTCAATCTATTCAATAACTCTCTTGCTAAAAGCAAAAAAAAAAAAGTCTGAAAATGAAAAAGCAGAAGAAAAAACTCTCTCTTGCTGTGCTGTTGGTTCCTTGGAACACTTCACTACTGCTTCAAATTCCTAGTGTGTCCGTTTCTAAAAGAACAAAAATATTCCCAGTGTGCAGGCACAAATTCTCTGGTGATTTAGTTCCGTGATCTCGTTTACACCTGGAATCTTGGATAGTTGGATTCCCCCGGTATGCAGATACGTTCAGACTTCGAACACCATGGCCCCAAAAGCACGGCCACTTTATTCCTGCAGATATAAGTGAATAAATACGAATATAAGATGCACACACCAACTGGTGCAGGCAACGTACATTGCATACGCCTATAAATACCTCTACATCATCATCCCTTTCACAAGTGAGCACCTGGCTTCACCACACAGTACATACGGTGCAGCACACAACACAAAAGAAGCAGCGAGAAGATCGGCCGGCGGAGGCGATGGAGTACCGGTACAGCAGCAGCGGCGGCGGGGGCGGCAGCTTCGTCAAGGAGAAGAGGCCTCCGGCGAAGAGGGGTCAGGTCAAGCTCCAGATAGCGAGGGCGCTGAGCAACCTCGTGTCTCCTGGCACCGCTGCTGACGGCTCCAAGCAGGCAAATCGCAGCAGTTTCAGAAGGGAAACAAGCTACAACTGAACAAGAGATTTAGATGGGTATGGTGCGCCTGTGTGGGTTACTAGCTAGCTGTTTTATTACCTATTGAGGGTTTTAGCAGGATCGTGTCCCAGTTTATAAATGGAGAACCTGTCTGATCCACATACACTATACTGTAACTTGGCTTGAGTGGGAAATGCTCCAAGCTTGAGCGTGCATTGTGCATGTATTTCAAGAAGAAATTTACATGTATATACATACAAGCTTTTGAGTATGCATGACACCCAGCGTGTGCTTGATTAGGAGTGCTCCTGTATGACACTTCGAGATCGATTAGTTTGATGCCAACATTTGTCTTGCACATTTTGGCAAGTTAAAGAAGACTACTAACTGGATGAGGGATCCAAAATAAGTGTCAGTTCACAAAAATAACTGGTAAGTTTTGTTTTTGCTAAATGTTGGCTTGTTAATTTTTTTGTAAAGCCATATATTGGCATCAAACCAACTGGCCTTCACCCGGCAATAAAAAAAAGGCCTCCCGCTGCGTCGTTCTGTCCATTAAACATGCAAGCGCGTGTGTTCGTGGGCCGGCCCTATTCAGTTTGGTGATGTATTCCATTAACAAGTGCTTCACTTGCCCGTTCCAATGATTTGTTTTGTTTTCTTTCAGGTTGTTCCGTAGTCAGTTTGTTTGTTTATACATAAAAGCATTAACATTGTTTAATTTCAAAAAATGAACACTGTTTTAATTACACGAAAGTTTTTCAAAAATTTATACACATTTCTTTAAAAATGATTTTTAAATGCATGAGCACTTTTTTAGATGTATGAACACTTACTGTTCATCATGTATTTAAAAAAAATTCAACTTGTGTTCAAAATGTTCACCTTGTACATAAAACTGTTCACTGTCTAGTTTTAAAATAATTTTAACATGTATTTTAAAAAATGCTCAGAAAACGTATTTTTACTACTGAAAATAGGAGGAAATGAACAAAAAGGAAATATAGAAAGGATAAATAAACCAGGAAGAAAACTAAAAAGAAACACCAATGAACCAGAAGAAAAACATTGAACCAAAGTAAAAATGGGAACCCCTAAAAAAGTAGAAAGGGGAAAAAATAGCGGGAAAAGGGCAAACATGGGCCTGCCCAATCGCCCCTATG